ACTTTTTCTCTCTTCTCTATTCTCTCTTCTCTCTCTTATATATGTGAGTGTAGGAAAATGAGTTTATCTCATGTTAAATGAGATAAACAATTCCCTTTATTTATTTGGGAGATATTTCAATTGCTTCATCACTTCGCGACTAGTCTGATTTGGGGCGAGTCTCGGGATTAAGGCTTTAAACTCATCTCAAAGATGATACTAGAGAAGATCGAATGGACACTCTCATCCCCACATACTTAGTATCCCGTTAATTGAACTACCATTTGGTGTTTTATCTTTTATTTTGTTAAACTACAGTACTATACTACTATGTTGCACCGACACCGATACGAGATATGACACGACACGACATTCCGACACGTTAATTCTAAAAAATATTAGATTTCGACACGTTAGGACACGTTTTGATATTAACTAACTTTTTTAATATATGTACTGTATACTATATTTAATATTCAATAATTTAATAAAAAAGTGAAGCTAGACTTATAATACCAATCAATTTTACAAAAAAACATAAGATATCCTAAAGATTTATATTAAACTCAATAAAATGGTAATCGTAATCCAACGAATCTAATAGTTTGTACTAAAAACGCAACGCAACGCAACATTTGAATTCTTTTTTGAGTCTCTGAAATGCGTGTTGGAGTGTCGGAGTATCAGGAAAAATCAAAAAGTGTCGGACACGACACGTCGAGATTTTTGAAGTGTTGATGCTTCATAGCTCTACTATTCTTCGAGGTAAGTTGTTAAATGGCCGTCTAAGTTTTAATTTCTTTTAAATTATTTGTTACTTTAAAAATTGTGAAATTAAAAAAATATTAATTATTTTAGTTTTTTAGTCTCTTAATATTTTCATTGAGTTGAATGATAAAAAAATAGAATAAAAGGATAATATAGTCTAGTATAATTATTTCTGGAAAAAAAATCAAGGGAATTTAATGACATTTTTTAATCTTTGTGTAAAATCTTACACGAAAGTTATTTTATAATAGAGATAGTATTTTATACCATGAAATAAGCTATAGTATTAAAATTGTAATCAGAGTGAGAGACAGTGATTGCCTACAAAGCTGATGTGACACAAGGCATAGTATAATATTTTTCTTATCATGGGATGGGAGCATATAAAATTATCTCTTATGACTGAGTTTAACTTGGTTAGAACTTAATCCAATATTTAATATGATTAACTTTTTAAATTTGAAGTTGATCTAATTATAACATGACTAATTATTGATGACTAAACTATTTAATTTTAAAAGTTCAAAACTAGAACTAAAGAATATTTTATTATATATTCCGAGATATATTATATTAATATAAAAGTATTACCGTATTTTATAATAAGCATTAATTTAAGTAAGAAAGTCTTACAACTTATTAATTTAAAAATAGGGATAGGATATTGTAACAATCAATTAGTGTTAGTTTTTTTTGACCCTTTTATCCTTTATTAATTAATTAATAAGTATTTTTCCCCTTATTCAAAATTATCTATCAATCTGTCCGTCTTTAATCGATTAACTTGAAGACTTAATCGATTAAATGGTCAAAACAGGTAAAAATGGTTAAATCGAGATTTAATCGATTAAATCTTCAAGTTAATCGATTAAATCTCCCAACAGGCAATAAAGGTCAAATCTCCTCCATAAACAAAAGCAGATTTCATGCATATGAAGCAAATCAACAATCATAGATAACAAACAAACAAAGAAACCAACAAAAGAAAAACGATTATTGGAAACTGGATTGATTTACATGAATTGATTTTGTTACTTTCCTTTTGACATAGTACGCCAACCTATTAGGTTTTAAAATATGCTAAACAAGCAAATCAAATAAACAAAAAAAAATCGCCGAGTACGCCAACCTCAAGCTGCCACGCACCCTCTTGGATCTTCGCCTTCTCAAGTACTTTCCTTTCTTACCTATTAGGTTTTAATGATTATACGATTCTTTTGTTCCTGAAAATTTTATTTTTATTTTTTTAAAATATGAAATACTTTCAGTTCTTTGAGAGAATTTGAGTTCCAATGTATTGGTTGATGGTTAAAATCTATCTGTAGTAGTTACAATGTTTTTTTTTTGTCTTGTTTTTGCATAGATAAGCAAATGCAAACATTGTTAATGGTTTGACTTAGCAATAGCACGAAAAGAAAAACAATTCTTGGAAACTGGATTGATTTACATGAATAGGGCTGGCTCCATTTCTACCTCTCACATGAAAACCTTGCTTATTACATGAAAAACAGCACAAAGTGATCCTATTGTCAACATCGGAACGATGACAGCGATCAAGGCGAACAACGAACCCTTCCTGTCTTGCATATTCATCATAAAAATACTTAGCAGAATCTTCAATCAGTTTTTTGTGTTTGTCTCATTCAATCAATACTTTCACGCTCATTTGAGATATTTAATCGGACTTTTTGACCTTTTTATCCCTCATTAATTAATTAACAATCATTTTGCCCCTTACCCAGAACTATCTACAAATCTGCCCCTCTTTAATCGATTAACTTGATTATTTAATCGATTAAATGGTCAAAATAGTTAAAAATGGTTGACTCGAAATTTAATCGATTAAACCTCTCAAGATAACACTCGAATTTCGTTTTCGAGTTCGTTGCGGCTAAGATCAACATAAGTTAACAACTTGCATTGACTGATCTCTGAGGCAACAGGACCCGAGAGTTTGTTGTGGCTAAAATCAATCTTTGAGAGTTATTGTAACCTACCAATCTGAGGGGGGATTGGACCCGAGAACCTGTTGCCATTAAGAAGGAGCTTTTGCATGCTGGAGAAGTTACCAATCGAAGGAGGCAAAGGCCCATAAAGTTGGTTGTTGGAGACAGTAATCTGACCAAGATTCAGAGAAAAAGCATCAGCTTCAGGAAACTGGCCAGAGAGATAATTGTCCTGAAGATCAACCTGGGTGAGTTGAGGAAGTCCAAAAAGGCCTTTCGGAATGGAGCCATTGAAAAAATTGTCACCCATTCGAATTTGTTCCAGAGATTGGCACCTACCAAGGGATTCAGGGATTGGACCAAAGAGGAAGTTCTCCAAAGCTAATGAGCCTGCATAGGTGAGGTGGAAGAGTCCCAGTTAACTTGTTTGAAGAAAGATAAAGACTAATGAGCCTATCGTTCTTCCCCAAACTCTCAGGAATGCTCTCTGTGAAGTTGTTCTACCGCAGTTGAACCACCACCTCCGAAAACGAAATTCGAGTGTTATCTTGGGAGATTTAATCGATTAAGAGGGAGATTTAATCGATTAAATCTTGAGTCAAACCATTTCTACCTAATTTGACCATTTAATCGATTAAATATTCAAGTTAATCGATTAAAGAGGAGCAGATTGGTAGATAGTTCTGGATAAGGGGCAAAATGATTGTTAATTAATTAATAAGGGACAAAAGGGTCAAAAAGCCTATTTAATTGATTAAATATAAGTGTTAATCGATTAAATCAATTAAAAGAGATATTTAATCGATTAAATCTCGAGTCAACCATTTTTGCTTGTTTTGACCATTTAATCGATTAAAGAAGGACATATTGGTAGATAGTTTTGGATAAGGAGCAAAATTGTTATTAATTAATTAATGAAGGGCAAAAGGGTCAAAGAGCCATTAGTGTTACTACCAATCAATTTCACCGTTAGATCGATTATGTGGATCCAACGGTTATATTTATTTCCATATTTGTATGGTTATGATTTTTCATATTTTATGTGAAAGCATTAAATATGAGAAATCATAACTATACAAAGGTAAAAATAAATACAAAGCATTAAATATGAGGAATCATAATCATACAAAGATGGAAATAAATATAACTGTTTGATCAACATAATCGATCTAACGGTGAAATTGATTGGTAGTAACATTGATAGTAACACTAATTAATTGTTACAATATCCTTTTCCTTAAAAATATTATAAATATTTAAATTTTAAATAATATCAATTTAGAACGAAGCGACGTGAAAACACCGAATCTATTTTTCATAACTCAAAGTAAGTATGATTAACTTAAACAAAATTGAGTTATTAGAAAGAAAAAAAAATCAAGAAAAAGAGTTATTGGCCAATTTGAATATTGAGATACTCTGTTTAATACTTCCTTTTAAACACATTGCAAGTGGCTCTGCCAGTTCTAATTAGAATCTTAAAGAGAAATATATTTTTCATGGGGTAATTTTGTCTCGTGTAATATATAAAAAATAGATGAATATTTTTTTTCTCTCTTTTCTTCGTAGTAGATTTCACTCACTTTTTATGTATTGTATTAGGATATATTTTCCATAGGATAAATTTTCTAAGGAAGAATATATATATATATATATATATATATATATATATATATATATATATGAGGTAGGATCTTTTGACACCGGTATTAAATTTGAAATTTGACACCTCATCTGAGAGCCGTTTGATCAAAAAAGATCAATGACTCTGATTTGTAAGCATGTGATACCATTGATCTTTTTTAATCAAACGGCTCTGAGATGAGGTGTCAAATTTCAAATTTAACACTGGTGTCAAAGGATCCTACCTCTATATATATATATATATATATATATATATATATATATATATATTTATTTATTTAATTCAATTTAAAGTGTACCTAATAGACTTAAACAAATTAATAGATCTAAATTAAAAAATTTACTTTTTAAATATAGATCCAATCATATTTATAATTTAAACTTACATAAAACTAAGGGGTTTGTATTTGTCATTTAACATTACACAACAAACTTTCCTACACAGATAACATTTTGTGAGACACACTCCTTTTGAAGAAAAAAAAAAATTAGAGCATGCAAAACGAATCTCTATAACATTAAAGACTCACTTCTCTTACAATATAACTCTGATACAGGCTAGACTGTAAACTATTTTTTAAGGTGAAGTCTAGCTCGTAAGCCTATAAACCCTTTGGTTTTTTGCCATTCTCTAATCTCATTTCATTTGAAAAGCGGATTTTCGAAAACATAAACCCTAGCCACTATGGAATGGAACCCTCAGACTGTCCAATTTCTCTCAGAATGCTTCCTCCACACTCTCTCTCCGGCGCCGGAACCTCGCCGCCGAGCCGAATCCTCCCTCGCCGAGGCTGCCGACCGCCCATACTTCGCCCTCACTGTTCTCCGCCTTGTCGCCGAGCCATCAATCGACGAGCAGATACGCCTAGCCGCCTCCGTCAACTTCAAGAACCACCTCCGCCTCTGGTGGACGAGATCAAATGATGAGGAGGAGATCAAATCCCGCATCCTTGAACCCGAGAAGGAGCAGATCAAATCCCTAATCGTCCCACTCATGCTCTCCGCTACTCCCAAGATCCAATCGCAGCTCAGCGAAGCCCTAGCCGTTATCGGAAACCACGATTTCCCCAAATCGTGGCCCACTTTGCTCCCCGAACTCGTCTCCAGTCTTCAGAAAGCGTCTCAGGTCTCCGATTACGCCTCCATTAACGGTATTCTCGGCACTGCTGACTCTATTTTCAAGAAATTTCGATTCCAGTACAAAAGCGAGAGTCTCTTTCTTGATTTGAAGTACTGTCTAGACAATTTCGCTGCTCCTTTGCTCGAAATTTTCCTCAAAACCGCGTCGTTGATCGACGCTTCAGCCGCATCGGCCGCAAACCTGCGACCCCTATTCGAGTCGCAGAAGCTTTGCTGTAGGATATTTTACTCGTTGAATTTTCAAGAGCTCCCTGAGTTCTTCGAGGATCATATGAAAGAGTGGATGGGAGAGTTTCGGAAATACCTTACCACTAGTTATCCTGCTCTTGAGAGCAGTGGTCCTGATGGTGTTGCGCTTGTCGATGAGCTTAGGGCTGCGGTTTGTGAGAATATTAATCTTTACATTGAAAAGAATGAGGAGGAGTTTCAGGGGTATTTGAATGATTTTGCACTTGCTGTGTGGACTTTGCTGGGGAATGTATCCCAGTCATCTAGCCGTGATCAGCTTGCTATCACCGCGATTAAGTTTCTGACCACGGTTAGCACCAGTGTTCACCATACTCTGTTTGCTAGCGAAGGGGTTATACCACAAATTTGTCAGTGCATTGTGATCCCGAATGTTAGGTTGAGGGAAGAAGATGAGGAACTGTTTGAAATTAATTATATTGAGTTTATTAGGAGGGATATGGAAGGTAGTGATCTTGATACTAGGAGGAGGATTGCTTGTGAGCTACTTAAGGGTATAGCAACACATTACGGAGATGCTGTCAGAAGCATTGTTTCTGCACAAGTGCAAAGTTTATTAAGTTCGTTTGCTGCAAATCCAGGGGCAAATTGGAAGGACAAGGATTGTGCTATATACTTGGTAGTCTCTCTTGCAACCAAGAAGGCTGGAGCCAATTATGTCTCTACGGAACTTGTTGATGTTCAAAACTTTTTTGAATCTGTCATTGTCCCTGAGCTGCAAAGTTCAGATGTTAATGGGTATCCTATGCTCAAGGCAGGTGCGCTCAAATTTTTTACCATGTTCCGGACTCAAATATCGAAGCATGTCGTATTGAAGTTTTTCCCAGATTTGGTTCGTTTCCTTGCTGCCGAATCGAATGTTGTTCATTCTTATGCTGCAAGTTGTATTGAAAAACTCTTGTTGGTAAAGGATGAGGGGGGTAGAGCTCGTTATACTTCGGCAGATATCAATCCATTTTTTGCAATGCTGATGAACAGTCTTTTCAATGCCTTGAAGCTCCCAGAGTCTGAAGAAAATCAATATGTAATGAAATGTATTATGAGGGTTCTTGGGGTTGCAGATATATCTGTTGATGTTGCGCGAGTTGGCATTGAGGGGTTGGGCTCCCTTCTTGCAGAAGTTTGCAAAAACCCAAAAAATCCCATCTTCAATCACTATCTCTTTGAGTCGGTGGCCATTCTTGTGAGGCGGGCTTGTGAGAGGGACTTATCTCTTGTGTCCGTCTTTGAAGCAAGCCTTTTTCCTAGGCTTGAAATAATATTGACCAATGATGTAACTGAGTTTTTCCCATACACATTTCAGTTGCTTGCTCAGCTTGTTGAGTTGAACAGGCCACCCATCCCACCAATCTACATGCAGATATTTGAGATTCTTTTGTCGCCTGATTCGTGGAAAAGAGCCCCAAATGTTCCTGCCCTTGTGCGTCTACTCCAGGCCTTCCTTCAAAAGGCATCGAATGAGATCAGCCAAGGGGATAGACTGACCAAAGTGCTTGGCATATTTGACTCACTAATACAATCTTCAAGCTCATCCGAACAAGGATTTTACGTGCTTAACACTGTCATTGAAAGTCTTGAGTACGATGTTATCAAACCTTATATTTCTCACATTTGGGCTGCCCTTTTTAGAGAGCTACAGAGAAGGCGGACAGTAAAGCTCATCAAGTCTCTCTTGATATTTATGTCACTCTTTCTGATTAAACACGGTTCTTCAAATGTTGTTGATACTATGAACAGTGTTCAGTCTGGTATATTTGTTGTGATTCTGAATCAATTTTGGATTCCGAATCTTAAACTAATCACTGGAGCTATAGAGCTCAAGTTGACTGCAGTTGCTTCAACCAGACTCATCTGTGAGTCTGCAGTCCTTTTAGATCCGGCTGTTTCTGTGTCCTGGGGTAAGATGGTGGACAGCATCGTCACACTACTTTCCCGGCCAGAAGAGGATAGGGTTGTGGAGGAACCTGACATGCCAGATATTACAGAAAATGTGGGTTATACTGCCACCTTTGTCCGTCTTTACAATGCTGGAAAGAAAGAAGAAGATCCACTTAAAGATATAAGAGATCCCAAGGAATTTTTTGTTGCTTCATTGTCCCGACTTTCTGCACTTTCCCCTGGGAGGTATCCTAAGGTCATCAGTGAAAATGTTGATCCTGTGAATCAAGCAGCATTGCTTCAGCTTTGCAACACTTATAATCTCTCAATAGTTTGAGCGAGAGTAAGAAGGTCTTGAGTTACTTTCTCCTTTTTTTATTATGCTTATTGGGTTTTTGTCAATGTCTTTTCCTTAATTTACAATTGAGATATGGGCCTAGTGGATGAGGGGCGCCACTACCTTAATTCAACACAAGATATTGTTTCCAAATGTTAAATATTATGGATGCATGGTTGATCTTTTAAGTCGTCAAAGGTTTGCTTGAAGAAGCATAGGAATCTGATGTTGCTACTTGGTACATTGAAAATACAAATGGATGGGGAACACACCTGGTTCATGAGGTCCTGTCGGGTGATAAGACACTCTCTCCCTCATATAAATGATATCCAGCATACGTTAGATCTAATGGTTGAAAAATTATGGATTGAGGGCTTCTGGCCCATGCCGTGTAGGGCCAACCTGTATAGTCCTAACTCACTTGAAGTCAGCCCACATATGATGTGGGCCTTTTGACCTGGGCTTATATGGATTAAAATTGGGTGGGTGGGCTTATCCATACGAAGAGTCCTAATCACAATGTTCTATTTGTTCATATATTATGCACGAAGCTAGCTAATCATCTCGCGGAAGAGCTGTAATTTGCAAAAGATAAATATAAACACCAAAAGGAGGTGTATTTATGTACATAGTAGATGCAAAATCAAATCCTAAATGAAAACTCAAATTAAAATATAATAACATATAAAAATAAGATAAAATTTTAAATTTTTCATTAGTAGAAACAAATTATTAAATTAATATGCTTATTCATTTTAATTTGAACTCTATTGCATCTTCTAGTACTAAAAGACAAATGTCATATTTAAATAGACATTGTCTTCCTTTTTTTTTAATACCCACACATTATATTTATTGCATGTTCATGGAAAACTTACGAGTTTAAATGTTTTATATTATTTTTTTGGCACAAATATAAGTAACATGAGTTAGTCGCAATTCCATTTTTTTAATTATAAAGAATTAAAAGGGTTTATTTTAGTGTTAAGATAACTTCAAATACAAATTATTTGAAATATGTCAAATTTAAATATCCCTGGCTGTGAAGAATGTATACCTCTTTTTTTTCTTTTTTCTTTTGAAAACAATGTACACCTCTTTTTCATGAATGAATGAATGAAGTTTCCTATCTTTGGAGGATTTTTACACTCCAAAGAACGGGTCGTATCTAACACGGCGGAACAATTACCAATATGTGAGCGAGTCAAATTTTGTTGTATTATTATCCTATCTATGTTTGTGTTAGTGTCCATGCTTCTAGGATTCAAAGTCATAAAATATTAATGATATGTTGTTACATACAAAATTTAATTTAGTTACTTACTCCATCCCATAAAGTTAAAAAAAAATTGTAATTCATTAACTTCTTATTTTCTTTTTATGACAATTGCATGATATGAATTTAAATTTTAAAAATATGTTACACTCTCTATACCTGAACTTTCATATTTTAAAAAAAAATTAAAAAGAAAAACCTATTTGAAAAGCAAACCCACATTAGGCATCTAATTCTTTGGAAAAGTCAATTTTCAGGTCTTATTCAATGTAAAATCCACATTCTTGCTCCAAAGTCGACAATATTCAAAAGTCCATGTCTTTCTGGAAAATATAATAATAAGGTGTGCTTTAGAAAGTTATAAGAAGAGGAAGTGTAAAGAAGAAATAGGCCCCATAATTAATAAACTGTGGTGCAAACCCACTCACCTATGCTCATTTTAACCCAATTGCCCATGATTGTCTTCACATGTTTTTAACATGAATTCCGACATCAAATGCACTAAAAGTCAGATGAACCAAACCTTAATTACTACAAAAATATTAATTAATAAACCAACATATAAAAGAAAGTGGTTAACAAAAAAAGTGACCAAACCTGAGAGAATAAATGTGCCTATGTGTTGTACCGTTCATGATGGGGTAATGTGTGCAGTTTGGGGAAGCAAAGGAACACAAACTGAATTGGTCTTCACATGGGGTGTGCATTCAAATCACTTGCCCCACCAAAATTGTAGTTTTCTAATATTATGTCCCTAGCTAAAGGCAACCAATAAGGAAACAGCATAGAGAGGTCAACTCTCTTTCTCTCCCTCTCTCATAGCCATAGAGATGAGAGAGAAGGAAAAGGGTCTATTTCACAACCCAATCCAAAGTAATGGTCATAATGTTTACCAAAAAAATAAAATAAAAAAGTAATGGTCATAAGCATTTAGAAGATTCTGCCAAGATACTAGCTTTATGCGAAAATTAGAAATTAATTATAGCTAGGAATAGAATCATTTAGGTCAAGTCAGATCAGGAGGACAAAATTAGCTATATTCAAAGCAATTGTTACCAAATGATACAATCTCTTAATGTTTGATTAATGGAGGGATCTGATCCCTAATCTAAATGGAATCTACAGATCAGCATAATAGAATTATATGATAAGGTTAATGCTGCTTTTGCTATTTAGGGTTATTTATACATATATATTAAAAAAATGAAAAGAAAGAACATAGCCCTTGAGAGGGGGCAAAAGTCATTTCATATCTTAATAAAAATTCCAGCAATTGTTGGCATTTATAGAATACCAAATGCTGGCATTCTAATAATTAATAGGAAGCTTTTATATACTCCACTTTGATAATTGTGCCACTACAATTTGGCCACAGAAGTATACTCCAATGTTATTGGGTATGTCCTCTAGCCCAGTTTTTGTCCCATGTTATTATGATATTTATATCAAACATTGTGGAACCAGAAATTTAATTATTGATGATTTACAAGTTTCAACAGTCATGGAGAGAAGCATTTTCATGAGTGCACATTAATGAAAGTCAAAATGCATTTTGCCCAGAAGGAGGTCACTATGCATTTCAAGATTGTTCTTTGAGCCTGCCCATGAAGTTTTGTTTAAAAATACTAGGCTGTTTCAGTTTTCTTTTTTTTTCTTTTTTTTTTTCCTTAGTCAAAGTATAATAATATTTAATTGTATGTGTAGTAGCATCTTACAAGTAATTAAACAAATATGGGACTAATTTATGTCTTATGAGCGTCAACTGTGTAAAAAAGCACACGCCATTTCTATCCCTTAGCTTATGAGATGTGCGCCAAATTAAATTAAAAGATGTTCAAGACTGCCTAGGTTAAACTAATTCTTGTAAATTCATATAGATTTATATTGGTCTTTAAATACATGATAAGGAAACAACTTATTGAAACTAAATAATTAACTTTGTGTTAGATTTTTTAACCAGTTTTTCAAATTTCATGTAATTATCATACCCTAAAAAAAAGTTAAATTCGATCGCACAGTTATATGATTTATAGATGCTCACAGGCATTCCCATATGATAAAAACGGTAGATATATAAAGTGATGTTTGTTGTGTGTATGTATATTTAGCATATTATTCTTCACAACTAGCATACAACTCATCGTGCTGGTTTATTGTACGTGTTGCCAACTAATAAGACTTTTGGCAAGTGTACTAAGTGGCGCGAGTAAAAAAAGTAAGAAAAAAAAAATAGTATTGTTCCCCACGGATTAAGAATTACCAAATACTAATCACTAAAAGCAATTCTATTTGGTCGATGGATTGTGGATTGAAGAGAATTTTAATATGATAAAATTATTGGGATTAAGAATTCAAGCATGAGTAGTGAATTAGTTCCACATTAGTTAGAAATATGTTAAGTGATCGAGAACCATATAAATAGAAGGACACATAAATTTAATGTCTTAAAATTTTGAGTTGAGATATGACATCCAAATTTATTTATGATATGTTGGTAGGTCTCATTCTATCATGGAATTGGTCCCGCATGGCCCAACAAAAATAAAATATAAAATTAAAATTGACAATTTAATGGATAAGAAGTAAAATATACTCAATGAGAATGTTTGGATTTTAAAGATGCAGGAAAAAGCATGTGTTAGGATATTGATTTCATTCAACCTTCCACATACAATCTAACTTCACCTAATTGAATCATTTTAATCTTACGTATTACCAGCTCCTTAGTTAATTTCTAAAGATAAGATGGGATTAGAGGTACAAAAGATTCATAAGCAAACTACATTACTTAAGTACTCTATTCGTGGTGCAACAAAAATAAAAGAAGCAATTATTAAATTCTGTTCATGCATAATTTTTTTTTATCTATCAAATTTGTAACACAGTTATGTCTAAAACTTAAACTCGAGACCACTGATTGAATTAGAACAATCTCATATCACTTTATCCACGTACTAGATGGTCATGTATAAATTTTCTAATCGATGCATAAATCATAATTCAATTTAATATTGACCAAATTGAGACTATTTAAAATAAAGGAGAATTGCTCAAATCTTTAAGAGTAGAATACTAGATTAAGAATTACGTTTCAATTTCACAGTCCAGTATGAATTTAATCACCATCTGAAGTACCCGAAAGTTTAGTTACTCATTAATTAGCAAGTAAAAATATGAAACCCTGAGGAAAGACTGTGAGAGAAGTTGGCAATTAATTCAATGTGCAATCATGTTGTTCTCCATTGATTCAATGGTCCAAAACTAATAAAAGTATCAAACTTTGATGGTGACTTCTCCTCTCTATAGTCAAATGCAAAGGCTCAAATCACACGCGGGCAGTTGCATTTACGCCTCAGTACAATGGAAAAAAATAATCAGTCTTTTTTATTATTTTACCATTATAAAGATAATAATGAATCTAATGTCGAATATGAATTTTCTTATTGATTCTCTAATCTATTTTTTGTTAATAGTTGATCATGTATCATATATGCATGCCATGTTTCTATATTTGTGACTTTACGTGCAGATAAGATAACTGTAGCCAAATATACGAACTTATACTGAGTTTTTTTTTTACCCCCGAAAGATAATGGTTAATTGGTTATATTTACAATAGTTGACATCATAAGGATAATCTTAAGAGTTAATTGGTTAATATGTTTAATTTTGTAATTTAAATCCATTGCGGTTTCGAAATTGTATCATTTAGACCTGTTGTAATTATATATATATATATATATATATATATATATATATAGGGCTTATCATTTCTCAAGCTGCCGGAGATAAAATTATTTCTGGCTACTAAATCATAATCGTACAAATATAGATCAATGGTGATAAAGGAAGAGAGAGAAAAAGGAAATCATAATCATTCAAAGGTGAATCAATACATGATATAAGGAAATAAATAATCAAAACGACGTAGTTTTGAGGTAGCGAGAGATAAATTTATCTCAAGCAACTTGAGAAATGTTTTTCCCATAAATATATATATATACATATATAAAGTTTTTATTTTCTCTAATTTTTAGCCTACATTGTTATGGTATTATGGTTATCAATTAAAGGTTTAATATAATTATGTTTTAAATATTAAATTAAAAATTATCTAAATTTGTTTATTTAATTTATTTTAAAAATTTATTGCAAAAAATAAATTAATTATTTAAAATTATCTTAATAATCAAAAAATTATTATTTAAGACAAATCAAAAAGTATTATTTCAAAAAA